AGATGACAACATTACGACATGGGTGCACCTACAGAAACCAACAACGAATGGATTGACGCGTGTGACACTCAAAAAGATAGTTGACGAACGGGACGATCAGTTATTACGTATTAAACTATTTTATGTCTAAACTATGCAATTGATAAGTGCGTATCGTGCGTTTATACATCAATTATTGTTGTAACGACTGTATTTATTTACTCAAATAGCTAACAGTATCCTGAATACTAACACCCACAAATACAGTGAACTCTCCCTAAATGCACGCCCTTGGGACCGAAAGTGTGAGAGCGTGCATTTAGGGAATAATGCAAAAACGGAGAGTATAGTAAATTCACGTGATTCCGATACTTTATTCATTTATTGGTTAAAATATTGTTTGTCGCATCGTATTAGCTTTTTTCTCTCTAATTCTTGATGTAGTAAAAATGCTTGTACAATTTCCAAGCCTGTAATGCCGTACTGTCACTGACAGCTGCTAATTCAGTGTTTGTTCGAGTTCTGGGCATGTAGCCAATCTGTGTCTTTTTGCATTGGAGCAATGATTTCTTCTTCAGAAAGTAACTGGTTGCTTCTTGCAAAATTCGTGTTATGATAGACTCATTAATCCTGACTTGCCATTTATTTTCGATCCAATTAACATACTTTGCACGAGATTTCTTATTATCGCGAGCATACAGGCAAAGTTTGTATTTTTGCAAGTTGTCTTACTTTTTGCCGGCATGATGAATTATTTTTATTAACGGTGAAATTTCAGTACAATCCTCTAACTAACAATTAGTTATAAACGATTTTTATGACTATGACCACGATAGCATGTTTAAATAGTGGCTAACTGTTACAATCGTAAATTCTTACAGAATATGATATTAAGATGTTCTGTCCACTATTGATGTCTAAATAAATACATGACTTGATGTTAGCTGACAGTGTTACTACAGAACTGTATTCTCACGTTTCGAATATAATTTGACACCAGAAAATAGTTCGCTTGCGTAAAGTGGAATGATTATAGCACGGATTCTCTATTCGTTACATTTATGATCCAATAATTTGTTATTGTCTTATGTCTTTAACTCGCCGAATTTCATTGGTGATGGACATTGACTGACTATACAGTAACCCTCTCTAATATCCACCCCGTTCTCTCTATTAGCAACCGTGGTTACAGAACGGATTTTCCCATATTTAAATTCCTCCGCATATATCAATTTGGATATCATACCCCTATCAATACATATCAGATTTTATTCCTAATTAAATGTACCTCGCTGATATCAACATCAATATAAATTAGTATTTTAAAATTTAAAATTCTGATCTACAATATCACGTATTTACTACGTAATAGTAATGTCTCTTTATAATCCGATTTGCGTCCCATTGTGTAAACAACTCCACACGATAGTTGTAATGAAGGCAGCGACATTGAAATCGAAAAAATTTCTCATCCTACGGCATTGGAACAATGCAAATTACTTCTGCAGTATGTAAAACAGCAAGTGTAGACATACGAAGCGAGACAACAAAAAAAGTTAACAGATTTTTTCATCAAAGAGAGAGAGAACCACAATTCATAAGGGGTTGGTTTTATTATAAATAAAGTTTTAAGATTTTATTCGAGACATAAGTATATCGTATATAATATCATTACATATAATGTCATTATTTAAAACCCCTAATACTAACACCCCCTATGATATCCAACCCCGCATATATCAACGAAATTGATATTAGAGAGGGTTCATTAGCTGCTGGGTCACGTGCGTGCATTTACGGATATAGAAAGTGTGCATTTTCACTGTATTTGGAATATTATTTAGTTTTCTACCTCACTATTGAATAGAATTATACGAAATAATAAATGTGTATAGTACATGCAATATAGCAACTTTGATGAAATTAAAGAGATTGGATCTGGCGGTTACGGAAACAGTTTATACTGCCAAATATAAAGATGAGCCAGCAAATGTTGTACTCAAACGGTATAAGAGTTTTGATGAAGTGCCGGAATTATTTATTTCCGAAGTAAGTGATTATTAATCTGATGCGTATATTCCTTCGCCTTTTTACATGATTGTTATCCAATATGCTAACAGCGGTAGTCTTTTGTTTTATTTGGACATGGAAGATGAAATTAGGGTGTTTGTGGTATGATCTGTATACAATTCATAATACGATATTCCATCAGTATCAGGACAAAATCGTACTAACCTCATCATTGTAATATTTCTTACCATTCTCATCCTCCGAATCAGTGGTAGTGTCATTGCTATCATTTTCTAAAGTTTGCTCATCTTCAATCGTCCTAGTACTCTCTTCTTGTTCTTGACAATGTGTAAATCGACTCTTTATGTTGGAGATGCTGCATTGACAACTGTTGTCATTTGGTCCGTGACCTCGTTTGTCACCCTTAGTTTCATAATTTTGCTGTTTGTGATTGAAGTTAGTAATCCAGTAATAGTAAAGCGCTGCAGCAACATCAAAACTATATGAGAAAGTTTACCATTGATTCCCGAATCTCTGCATCTAT